CCCCCCGCAGTGCTGGGCTCTGGGCTACCTGGCAAGACCATTTTGTGTCCCTCCCATAGCATTGCCCCACCCCCACCGCGCCTCATTCCCAGGTGGTGGTTTGCGCGCTCAAGGCACTAGTTTAAGTGCTCACGAAGTGCGCCGAAGCCAGTGCGTAGCTCTGCACTCAGCGCCTCCCCCTGTAGGGACGGGCCCTTGCCCCTTGTGTGCGACACTCACTTTGCACTGGTGTAAATGGCTGCACAAGGGACCAGGTGACAGGGAATCTGGATCAATGAATCCAGCCTGGCCTATGCACCCGCTGCAGCAGATTAACTAAGGGCTGGGAAGCTAACTGACCTCAACAGGTGCAGATCCCTGCCTGGGCCCTGGATTCATTCCAGCCTGGCTCATGTCCGTCTGGTGTCATTTGATTCCTAGCAGCACTAGCTTGCTCGGGGTGGAGGTTAAATCATATTCATTGCATCCACATGGGGCTGCGTTGCTCTGATGAAACCAATTTACAACCTAACTGTAGCTGGGGGGCAATTGTTTCTGTGCAGCCCAGTCCCCTGCCAGCCCACAGCCTAGCATGGCCATGGTCATGCTCGAGTGCAGCCCCCTTCCTGCGTGCTCAGGACTTGTGGAGACGTCTGTTCCCAAGTTCGGGCCGAAGCAAATCCCTGGCTGGGGTGATTGTCACTGAGAGCTGGGCTCCTGGCCACTGGGGCTGGCAAGGGGCAGATGCAGCAAGGAGCTGTCTGAGGCCCTGTGCGCACCCAGACTTGCGCCGCTTTAGCTCCAGTGTGAACGCTTATTTCAGTTTAGTTTAAACCCGTTGCTGATTGGGAACGGGAGCCTTCACACAGGGCCTTGCACTGGTGAAAGGGGTAAGGAAACCCCAGCTTAGCAGGGGCCGAGGCTGATGGTTCCCAGCCAGCCCCAGTGGCGATGTCCTGCTGCTCTGGCCCCCGTCTCTTCCCAGCCGTGTCTCTGTTCTGCAGAGTAAGGGAGGGATCCTCTCCAAAGCCTGTGACTACATCCAGGAGCTGCGGCAGAGCAACCACCGCCTTTCCGAGGAGCTGCAGGGCCTCGACCAGCTGCAGATGGACAATGACGTCTTGCGGCAGCAGGTGAGTATGGGGTGCTGCTGGGGGCCAGCTGGCCCTGGGGCCTGGGCAGCCATCCCCGTTCGGCCACCAGAGTCAATCCAGCCCAGCTGGAGGGGGGCTGGGAGCAGCGGCCAGCTGCCTGGTGTGCCATGGCTAGGGGTCGGGTGACTCTGCTCTGATTCTGCTGCTCATTGGCCTCCTTGCCTGGCAGCTACCAGGACTTGAATGGGCCCCAGGGACTGGGCTCCGCCTTCAGCCCAGCGTCAGGCAGAGCCTATCCTGCCGCTGGGCAGAGGAAGGGGCTGTGCCAGGCTAGCCAGCCCAGCATTGTTCCTGTACCCCGTGTGCCCGGGACAGCTGAAGGGGATGGGTTGGGGAAGGAGCTTCTAGCCCAGGAGGAGGCAGCACCCACCTCTGGCTAGGACAGGGCCAGGGCAGGTCCCCAGCCTGACGCCCTCTCCCCCTTCCAGGTGGAAGATCTCAAGAACAAGAACCTGATTCTGCGGGCGCAGCTGCGTCAGCACGGGGTGGAGATCATCATCAAGAACGACACCCACTGACTGGCGAGGGGCGTGGGGGGAGCGGCTGAACCCCCGGCCTCGGGGTCTGCCAAGGCACAAGGCGAGGAGGGACCCCCCCAGTCACGACTGCCCGCAGGAGACCGTTCTCGCCTGCCGATGCTCCTGAACTGCAGCGCCTCGCTCTTGCTGTACAGACCCGAAAGCAGCAGCGTCAGCGTCCTGGGGCTGAACCCAGCGCTCGGGCCTCCCCTCAGAGCTCCCCCCAAGCCTGACCCAGAGCCTCCGCCTGCCCTGCCTCCCCCTAGAGCTCCCACCCAGCCTGGGCCAGAGACTCGGCCTGCTGCCCCCCTCCCCGGCGGAGCTGGTTTGAATAAAGAAGCTGACGCTGTCTCTTTAAAAAGTATTTTTATTGCTGTGGTGGAACGAACTGGTGTTCTGCTCCCGGTGTGGCCCCCGCTTGTGGGCAGCCAGGCAGGGCGCGCGCACGGGCCTCTGTGCCCAGTCACGATGCCACGCATGCTTGTGTTCGCCCACAGCTACGTCTCCCCTTGGTAGCTCTCCCGCGCATGTGCACACAATCTCAGGCCTGCACAGTAGCACGTCCACCCATCAGCCCCACGCACCCGCCCACGCGTATCCTCTCTCCCGCGTGCTGTCACGTCCTCGTCACCGCCGGCTGAGCAGGCAGACACGCTCTGTCCCGTTTCACCCCTTGCCTTGACTCTTTCCTCTCCCCAGCCCGGCTCATCTTCCCCCCTGCTCCTACAGGGAGCTGGTCACTTCTCCCGGAGCCGGCTCCGGCACCCGCCCCCACCCATGTGCTGCCTTGAGCCGTTCCTCCCTGGTGCCCTCACCACCCCCAGCCTGGGCTGTTCGAGCATGTGCCAGGGAGGGCAGCTACCAGCATTGGGGAAACACTGCTGTTCCCCGGGTGTGCCTGGAGTGCGTTAGCCTGTCTCCAGCTGGCCTTCCCTGCAGGTGCTGTCAGCTGAGCCACTGATCCTTTCGCTGTGGGGGAGGCGGATGACGTTGTACTGGGGGCAGCCCCTGCCCCCCCCCCCATCCCCTCCCATGGCTGGCACTGCCTGGTTCTGCTGGTCTCTGACTTTTTTTAATTCTCTGAATTTAAAAAGCAGAATAAATAAAAATAGTGATTTGTTTTTCCATGTGGTGCTGCTTTTATTTCACTGGCAGGGACCCCCCAATCCAGCTCTGGAAGGGGTGGGCGGGAGAGGGGGCAGGACCCCTGCTGCTACCCCCTCCAGCCCCCGGGGCTGGGCTACTGAAGCACAGGGCCAGCTCACCTGTAGGGCCACTTCGATCACTGATCTGCAGTGCACAGGCCCCAGAACTGTCCCCAGGAGGATCCCCATGTAGGACCTGACTTTCCCCCTCTGGGAGAGCTTGTGCATGGGAGCCAGGTGGGAGCCAAGGATGCAGCAGTAGCCAGTGTCTGGTCCTGGCTCATCCCTGTGGGGTGGGGGCCGAGATAAAGAACATCCTGGCTTCACAGAGGCGATTACCCCCTGAATGTTGGGGATCCCCTGCCCTTCCCCAACTGCCTCTGTTCTCTCCCGTGCCCCATGAGCAGACGCTTCCCTTTTCCTTCCTCTGTGGTTTCATGTTTCCTGCCCCCTGCCTAGGGCCCAAGCATGGGGGCTGCGGTGGGGGTGCTCAGGGTAAGATCTTCAAAAATGACGTGTGATGTAAGGGGCCCAGCTTGAGACCCCTCAAAGGGGCCCACGACTATCCCCTCCCCTGCCCAGATGGCCCTGGCTGAATGTCCCCGAATCACCTGAGCCTCTCCAGCCTTTTCCCATGAATAGCCGCGAGCCCAAGACAGGGGATGCTCCGAACCCAAACAGCTCTGGCCACACTGGCTCCAGCCCGTCCCCTTCCCTAGCTCGCCAGGCCTGGGGGCATTCGTGACTGGCCACAGGGCCCCTCAGCAGCAGGAGGTGCTGCGCGGCAGAGGCCTGCAACTGGGGGGCTGAGCCGGGACCAGGGCACTGACCCGTGGGCCAGGCAAGATAGCCTTTGCTGGTGAGGTCGCTGCTCCCATCTGAGCTGGCATCAGCAGCGGGCTCCGTGGAGGGGCATTGGCCTGGCCAGATTGGCAGGGGGGCTCTTGAAGCCGTGCAGGGGCAGCACGGGGAAGCTAACCCTGCGTCTGCCCAGTCTGTATGTGACCTGGGTTCAAGGCAGAGGCCTCCATGGCTGACACCTGACTGGCCCCAGGGCTGGGGGGCTGGCCGGCTGCCTCCCCAGAAGAGGGGCTA